TCTTGAAGAAAAGAAAAAAGAACAAGAAGATGCCAAAAAGAAACCTAAAGAGCAAACTATTCTTGCCAATGATAATTTAGTTGATACAGCACCTATTTTAACTGACACAACTGGAATCAAAGAAGAGGTATGGGTATATATGTTACTTCATATTTCAATTGATATTAACCCTACTGTTTATTTATAGAATGTAACGTTAACTGATTTAAAAACATTAGAAAATGCTATCGAAAATTTGAGTTCTGAACAAAAAACTCTAATTGTTGAAAAAGAAGAAATTAAAGAATTGAAAGACGAACTTAAAGATTACCAAGAAGTTAGTATAATAGAATAAGTTACATTATAAATAATACATTTTATTTTTTGTATCACATTTTGTCATTTATTTTAGGATATAAATGATCTTCAAGAAGTAATGAAAACTGAGAAAAAAGAAAAAGTTAGAGAATCTAAAGCAGCTAAACGATTATTTAAAAAAGTTAATAATATGATTAAGAATATGGACCAAGTAGTTGATAAGTTGGAGACAAAAGAAAAAGAAATTAAAAAAGGTATTGAAGTTAAAGAATTAGTTGATGAAAATACTATTAATGAAAGGTAAATATTTGAGCATTTTATTCATGTAATATTTAATATTTAATAATTATTAATTTTATACTATGTTAATCTTTCTTTCAGTGAGTTAATCAATATTGAGGATCTGATTGGAGCAGTAAGAAAATTACAAAATGTACCTGATGAATTCAAACTACAACAAATAAGTGAAGTTCTTAGTAAAATCGATGACGATCATGATGGTTCAATAAGATTAGATACTGTATTAAAGGTAAAGATCATAACATCAATAATCTTATTCTAGACCKCTATTTATTACAAGTTTATTATTATAGGTATTAGAATTGATTGGTACTGAAAACATTAAACTATCCTCAAAGGAAATGGATATGATAACACAATTAGTTATCAAAGAGGAAGAAATGGAAACTATAGAAAAAATGAACAAAATACAAAAATCGGAAAAAGATGATTTAACACAAACAACAACACCTAAAGTAGTTACCACATCAGAAACAATTACAAAAAAAACTGTAACACCAATAATTGATTCAAAAATTGTCTCTGATTCGAAAATACCACCATTGCCACCAACAAGTAGTACAAAATCAGATGAAACCAAAAAACTATAAGTCAATAATACAATAGATTTTCATAAATCTTAAAATACTTTCATCATTCAAATATGATTACAAATTTAAAAAATGTGATATTGCAATACATTTCCACAGTTTATGTGACTAATGTGTTAATTGTCCTCTACAATTAATTTTGTACATACAGTTTTTAGTTCAGAACAATTTATTTAATTCTAAAGAAAAATGTCTTGTGGTTGATCTGCATCTTTTTGTTAAGTACTATATTATACTGTTATTTGTTTAAAAAAAAAATCATCATAATTATAATTATATCGTAGAATTCAAATTCATATTTTTTTATTATTTGTAGCCTTGTAGGTTTCTCATTTTTCTTTGAATTTAACCCTCATTCAAAATTCCTCTTTATTACAGCTTATAGATTTCTCTATTAAAATAGTAAAATTAAATCTATTTTACCATGTTATGTAAGACTGTTTTAAACTATTTTTACACTTGAATTTTTATTAATTAATATATTTAAGAGTAGGTATATTGTATCTCAATAGCATGCAATGTTTAAAAATCCAAAATTACTCAAAATCTGTTGGTTATACGTTAACAGTGGTAAATTCAAAATCAATCAATTCAAGTTAACAATTAACTACTTTTAGACTTAGACAAATAAATATAGCATTTTTGAGTATATCCTCTTAAAATCCAATGTTTATACAAAATATGAAAATGTATGTGATGATTTAAACTAGCTAATGTGTGAGTTAAAAAAAAGATATTATATATTTGTTAACTAGTAGGCTTACAAAAAAAATTGATTTTTGATAAATAAAAATGAATTTTTTAATTGTTTATATTATTCACTCATTTCTAATATTATTGAATAAATAATATGTAAACTGGTATGTTTTCTTTAGATTGCAATTTTCAATCAATATTGCACTAAAAATATTCTAATATTTGGTTTTGAATATCACAATATTTGTAAATAGTAAGTGAAGACTTAAAGGATCTCTATTTAAACATGCTCTAAAATAATTAATCATAAACAACAAACATACAAATAAAGGTAACTAAAGTTCTCACTGTTAAAATTATATTTTATTCTGCTAAATGCAAATTTGCCATGTTCTGTGTTTGTATGATTCAAACCAACTTATTTGGGTGTTGGATCCTATTGATTTAATTTAAAAAAATTTGCTAATCAATATTTCTTAACTTGATTAATTCATTGACAAACATACACTTGATATGGGATATTTCTACGGAAATTGAAATGAGATTTCAAGAGCGAACGTGATGTCGCCACTTATCGTTGTGATTGTAGGGTATTAGATAATATTATCATTTATTATATTATTATGTTCCAGTGGTTTGGCAAAGGCTATTTATTTATTTTTTTGACCATTCAGAGCATTTTTTTTAGGCAAATAATTTAAAAAATTCCCACATGGAGACACCAGGCTTAGCCAACATTATTGTTGGAGACATTTTCAACAGACTGAGCGACGTACACCGTGTGGTGAACAGAATTGGTTTTTGGGTTGTTTCGAAAAGTATTTCTAAATTGGTTCCGAATTATTTTAAAAGCATTTTCAATTTTTCTTCCATGGTGTATACATAACACTTGTGTTTTTGTCTCAAAATAGGTAGGTCATTATGTTTTTTTATTCAATATTTTATTCATGATAAATTTAATTTATCATGATTTTATTTCTTTTAAATTTGTCTTTGTTGGTGTTTCTAAAATTTTAGCTAAATTAATTGCAGTAATAATAAACGTTTTATTTTATCGAGATAAAAATGTATAACATTTATAAGTTAAAAATTCCTTTCTATTTGTTTTATTTATTTTTTTTAATTTTTCCACTTCTATTTTTATATATTTATAAATTTCATTACGTTTAATCTTTTAGTTCTGTTGTTTGTTAGTACTTCGTATAGTTTAATATGATATTAATATAATATGATTCAATTTGAAAGTCTGTAGCTGTTGCCCTGTTGGCAACCAACTGGAATGCGCGCCGCTAGAATATCGGCAACCAATTCGGATGTGTACCTTCTAGAATAGGGGAGGGGTCTTTTCTCGAGACCCACTGTTTTTGAAAAAAAAATGTCAGAAACAGTGTTACAGTGTCATCTTGGTCGGCCATTGAGAGAAAAAAGGCAATAGACGCTAGTTATGAGTAATTTGCCGTGCATGAGTGCGCCCAAAATATTTTTGAAGAAGTTTCAATAAACATTTGGGCTTAAGTTTTGATGTCACAACACAAGTAAGTTCAATTAATTAATTTTCCGTGATAATAGACATTTTAACTGGAATCATATCTACTGGTAAAGTCAAATGATTAGGTAATCCATTTGTATAACTTCTTCAAATTCATAATTTATAATTATTTTTTTTTTAAAGAAGACCAATCGCAACCCATTTTTATAACTTACTTGACACAAATGTGGATCGCCAGCCACCGTTTGAATACCACTGATTTAGAATATCGAAGAAGTCKAATGTCAATTTTCAGATATAGGAGGTTGAGAACCAATTCGAATGCTGTCAAACCGACACTTGTACAACGACCGTACATTAGGTTGCCTATACTATAGGGTTATACAAAATAAAGTAGACAAATTAAGAATGAGGAAGGATGAGTTATCCAAAAAAGCGGTACATCATTAATAAATAAATTATCAAAAAAAAAAATGTACCAATAAATGTAAAGAACAAAGAAARAATAGGTAATATCAAGGTTTTGAGAAGAAAAAAAAACGACAATTTGAAAAGGAATCAATTGAAAAATTATTAATAAATAGATAACAAAATAATTAATGTAACTTGTAACAGAAGTTTGTTAGTTTGTACAGGAAATTCTTTAAGTAATACAAAAAACCTCAACTATTTGAAAATATGAATTTCAAGTTAGTATGTTTTAAAATTCCAAAGATCATAATTTGAATTAATTCGTTATTAAAAGAAGGAGAAAAGCATGCTGGATCCCCTGCATGTATATGCTCATATGATATTTCCAAAATTAGGCATTAACTAGTTAAAATCTAAGTTAAGTTAAACAGTTAACTTTTTAACTTAACTAGTTTGCTTATTTTATAATCAACTCATGAACTTAACTAGTTAAACTGGCAGTTGAAATAACTTAGCTATTCTCAGTCGATTTAAAAATAATCTATCGAGTTAAAAACATTTTGAGATTTTTCATTTATATGTACGTAAATTATTGTAAAAAATTAATCCAGTTCTATAGCTACACAAACATTTTTTTTTTTGATAAAATAATTTTGTAAATTAAATAGGCGTAGTCATTCTTTATGTTGTTTACATACTAATTCAAAAAAAAGATTAACTTTTTTTTAAACTGATTGAAGTTAATATTATTTTCCAATTGTCCGTATTAACTTTTAACTTGTCAAGTTAAATTTATAATTTTATAACTGTTAACTTTTAACTTAACGATTGCGTGTCCTCTTAACTTAACTTGAGTTAATTATTTTCATTAACTGGCTCACTTTTGGATATTTCATTATAATATTACCATATCAGCTACTCCCTACCAATAATACATATTTCAATTTTCAATCGATGTTGGTAGCTGGTAGATTAGCTTTTTATAGCGTTTACCGAGTGGAAACAAATTTATAGTTCAATTATCCGGATCAGCGAATCGGTAAAAAAGGTATAATAGCTGAGAAACATAGAACATCAGATACTACGAGTGTCTCATCGGGGTGCGTGGAGAAAAAACGTCACTAGCATCCAACGAGCTCTACTTCGTAAAAACTGTCATCGGTGAGCATAATAAAGCGAACAATTATATTTTATATTAATTTTATTCATCAATACACAAAATKTAATCAATTGAAGTACTTTATTCACATTTAGGTCTGTATAAGAAATCGTTAAGCAATCATTACTTTGTATGAAATATATTATTATACTATTATTTTTACTTTTATTTTTTTTTTCGGCCCTAATTAGATACTTACATTATTGTAAATACATCCGTGGTTAAATCAACAAAATGTGTTCACCGTCAACAGAACGTGTTGATCCCAAGTGTTCTTCCGGTAGAGCGTACAGAAGAGTATTAAAAAAGTATAAAACGTTATGGATTTTGAGTGTAGTAGCTGTCTTATTTATTGTATCCGCAGCATTGTTAAACTACACCGTCAACCAATATGTTCGCGCCGTCTTGAAACTAACAGCGATGCAGGTAATATTAGTCAGTTATGGTTTATAATTTATTTGTCCAGTTTAGGTATATAAGTTTAGTATTACCAGGTATTTTTTTTAAATTTTTAACCGAGTTCCGTTAGATATTTTTCAAATCAATCATTGCTTCAAATACTTTTATCACAACTCAAAACAACATGTAATTTAACATAATACAGTAGGTAATACTTAATAAGTTATTAATAATAACTTAATAGTTTCTTTAGGGGTTTTAGTAGGTAGTAGGTACTCAGTAGTAGGTACACCTACTGCGATATTCCACTAAGAATATTTTCCTATAGTACGTGAGTACGTCTAACGTAACCGAGAACAAGGAATATTTCCCCACTATAGACATTCGTTAAAAAAAAATCAAATTATTCGATTACCACAGTATTTATTGGAACTGCAAAACTATATTTTATTCAAAACTACTTATTTTATTTAAACAACTTAGGATTACAAGTTAAATTAAATATTGAAATATTTGAAACATTTGAAAAATTTGTTCACTTGTTATTTTCTGAGTTCCTGATCTTGATAAAACTAGTACCTATTTCAATTTCCGGGAATTTCCACATCACTAAGTAATCCTATCATAATTTATGCTCTTTTCTGAAGTTTTAATTATTTTTAGATTAAAAAAATTCAATGACTATAATATATGTATCAGCTGCATTTAATTTATATAAATTACTTAGTTTATGCTTACCTATTCATTTATGTAAAAACTAAAAAACCTATAGTAAATAATAATTATATTATACCTAAATTTATAAATAAAATATTTAACTAGGTATTTAAACTTTTGCTATAGTATGGTATGGGAATTTTGATTTTGTCTCCACCTATTTAAAACAATATTTAACTACCTACCTTATAAATATATTAACAAATATATTCAACAAAACGAATATGGACAAATTCCAGTTCTAAAGATCTTAATACAAAATATTTTGAATACCTATATATAATTAGCTAGTATATTTATGTTTGTATTTAAATATTACGAATAATATCCTATATATCTGTAGAAATAATATAAGAAGTTCTGATTCAAAATCAAAATACAGCCAAAACTATGATAGTTGGAGACTTGATATTTCATTGGTCAACGTCTTTCAAAATCGTCTAGCTTTCATATTATTATATATAGATAATATAGATACAACTATACAAGACGTATACCGTACCGACTACTTATACTATACTATTATACAACAAATGAGGTACTTAGAGATACTTGAGATACCTAAATCGCCGGTGTGGCGGTGTATTCATTTATCATACGCACGATATTACTTATGATTTTTGAAATAATTTAATCTAATTATATAATTATTATGATAATATAATAACTCATACTTATAACTTATAAGCAGATAAAATACCTTCTAAATAATTACTTTTAATTTCTATATTATACTAATTTTGTTTGTACATATTTAAAATGAAAATTATTTATAGTAATTTATTATTTTAATCCTTTTTTAGTTAATAGACCTGAACAATTTCAAAAATTTACTTCACGATTCGTGTTTAATATATAAAAAAATACCAGAGCGTAAACTCATTGAATCGGATTGTTATGTGAGTATAAAGTACTATTATAGCTTACAAATTTAATGTTTTGTGCAATAGAACACTCTTGTAAAGTATCTACTTACATTAAAAGTGTTCAAATACAAGGTACTCAAATACGTTTATTAAATAGGTATTAAAAAAAGTATTTMAAATACTTTTCATAAGTATCTGCATTTAAAATCAAATACTTATTTTCTAATACTTATTCTTTTTTATTTAAATATTTTCTATTTTAATTTTAATTACGTAAAAAAAATGAGAACACGTATAATATACTAATAATTAATACATATTTTTCACTATAAATTATACTCAACCGAAATTTCTAATACTTCGACAAAGAAAACATACTAGTATTTTATATAGATATAGCCGTTAAAGGTTCATCAAACAATACAGCGTAAAATCATCTATAAAACATGTCCTACTAAATTCCAAAATTTATTGACTTTCCTGATGTTATACTTTTCTATAATTAATATAAATGTCCTATGTAAACAAAATGTTGAGATCCAAGTCTATATATTTTATGT